AAGGAGAGATCAGGCACTAGAAAGTCTACACTCAATCACAAATATTTCCTGAGCACCTACTGTGTCCCAAGCATGGCCCTGTTTGCTGGGGCATCAGGGACAGATGGTAAGGTGGGGTGTCTGACTCATCAAGGGGAGTTCTCCTGCAGCTAGGAGGAGCCGTTGAGAAAACACAGGTGGATCTTTGATACCAGAGCCATTTGGTTCACCTCATGATTTTGCTAGATTTGTTGACAGATATTGGGGAAAATAACTATCCACTCCAGTCTGTGTTTTCTTATCTGTAGAATGAGAGTAATAATAGCGTTGCAACCTTCTTGTCAACAAATTACAGATTTTTTTGGTCAACCCTAAATTTAGACACAGCCTGACACACACAGAGAATGCAGACAATAGAGGCATGTTTTTAATGCCTTTTTTTTTTTTTAATCACAGCAGGCACATAGTAGGCACTCAACGAATTGTTAAGTGTAACCAAATGACATCCTACTTTCCCCAGTCATCTTCATTTAGTAAATCAACACATATATTTTGTGGTCATTTTTTCAGACAAAGAGCTTGCCCACCATACCATACAGAGGTTGCACCATTGTTCTATAAACAGTTAGGTGGATCAGGTGGTCGGCAAAAGAATTGATAGCAAGATTTTTGTCACATCGTATAATATTTTCAGTCCTTTGAATACTACTTTATAAATTTCTTTGAGTTCTGCAATGCCCAAGAAAGTGCTGAGCAAGTTACACATGATGGAAATTTAACCACAGTGAAGTACTAAGTTCTATATAAAATACAGATGCACTTGCTCTAACTGTCCTAAATAACAACAGCATTGAAAGAAGCCGCAAATGTTAATTTCTAAAGCATACGACAGGGAATTGTGATTAAATTATTATTTCTTATATACAACTGTACTTCTAAGCATTTTCTATAAATATGGACTGGTATTCGGAACAACAACAAAAAAATAACCCTACATTTGAAGTCAACCAAAAAGAAAAATGCCTTTAGGGGGTTTTTTTGTAGTGTTTGAATAGAATACAGAATTGGGAGAATTATACATTTTTTTCTTATTATTACTGTAAAGCTTGGTTGAAATAAACTATGACTATGGAGATTAAATAAGGACCAGAGCAGAGAAGAAGGAAGGAAGAAGGAATTAAATGGTATTTATAAGATTTTCCTTTTTTGTATGAGTTAGATGGATTGTTTGTTTGGGGAAGGAACAGAAAGGAATAAAAGGAAAATGAAAGATTATATTAGACTTTTTCCTATTTGAATTTATCATTTTCACTGATATTGAACGGCTGATTATAATTAGGGATTAACAGCCTATAAAAAGGTGTCGATGCTGGTATTTAGTGCCTTTCAGAAAGGAATCCGTGGATCACTAGATTACATGAACAGGGTTTGGATTCTCTAGAGTTGCTATTTGATGTCTATCTACGTGTGCTTTAGATTAGCCATCATTTATGTTTTAGTTTAACCAGTAAGATGCAGTCCTTAGAATATGGTAGCCCTCTTAGAATAACAAACCACAGCATATAACTAAGTTAGGACAGGATGGATTCAAAAGTGTTTGGATGAGCTGAGGAAAATGATAAATGATGTATTGTGATTTTTAAATCCTCATCTGGCCAACTTTGCACTTTATTTCAAACAGCTGTCGACCATTTGGAAGCCATTTTGTAGCTCAACCAAGTACTAATATTTACTGTATGAACCACATATCTTTAAAATATTTGTCTTTCCCTGAGAGAGAGAGAGAAACTTTTTCTTTCCCAAACTCAACTTTGACATAAATCAGACCCATCCTCCTAGGTTAGATGGTTGGATCACTGAAGGGCTTGTTCATTGCCAAGTGCAGTCAGCGTCATTTTTGGTTTCTTCAAGTAGGGAGGCTTTCTCCAGCCATGAATAGAGGCTTTGAAACATTTTTTTGAGGAACTTTTTACGGGCAAGTTTTAAATGACTGTTGTAAAGTAAGAGTTTCCCACTTCACCTGTATGAGGACTTCTTACATAGCTACCTCCTTCTCTAACCTATTCAACACCTCTCTTCGGACATAACCATCAAATCTAGAATTCAGAAAGCATCCATGTGCAATTGTAGAAGGTAGCGTCAGGAAGACATACAGGCTATACAATAATGGAGCCATGAGGTAGTTCTCACAGGTGAAGGTTCTAAATTACTGTCGGGGAAACCACCTCAGATTTTCATTTTGCTCTGGGCTACTCCCCTTTAACCGCAATTACAGAAATACACCTCTTGAAATGACCACCCTTTGAATCCTCCTTCTAAACATCTGCAGCTATGCAGGAAAGAGCCGACCCATCAATCCACGTAATATGATGTGATGAGTTTACTCTTTTCTAAAGTGGTATGCAGCCACTTTTGTGACGATCCCACATAGCCAATCATCAATAGGCAATAGGGAGCCATTTCTAGAAAACAGGGTGCTCTGAATGCTAGTCAGGTATCCTGTAACAACATCGATCCTGCAGTGAAACCAGGGGGCACATAGCCAGCCCGAAACATATTGAGTTAGCCACCTTCCTCCAGTGGTTCTTAATCAACAAATTTCAGGAAAGTTAACGCTTTGTGTGATGTTAACTCCTGGGAGCCCAGTAAAGGGACAGTACTGTAGTAACTGTGTTGCTCTTGCAGTAGAAACCCAATGCAAGAATGATGGTAGATGCTATAATCAGGCTAGATGACAACACCATCGTATCTACTGCTACTTGGAAAATGATGCTTTGGCCAACGCTGTGGACCACGGTGTGTTATATTTGCCTTTAGAAGTTCAATGAAGCCTCATTAGCTGACTGGGTGTCACTTCGAGTAGTGTGTTAATAAAAACATAATAGAAATGTTTCGAGTATACAAATGGATATTACCATCAAAGATCTATTTACTAAATATTCGCTTCAGAGTCCTGAATAGCATCTCCCTCCACGTGGGGACAGAGCTTTAAGGTATTAAAGTATTAAAGGTATTTTATATATATATATATAAATTATATATATATAAATTATATTTATATATATATATATAAAATATAAAGGTATTAAGGTATTAAAGCTCTCAAAACAGCTTTAAGGTATTAAAAGTAAATGTAAACAGTGTCAGTTTAAGATCATTAATTATAAATCATGACTTGGAGAAGAGCTTGAAGGGAAAACTATAAACAGAAATTTGTCTCTCAAGAAAAAAATAAATCAATAAAAAGCAGGAGAGCTCTGTGTCTCTGACTGTGGCTGAACCAAGATACAGGATATACACAGACTATACTATTCAAAGGCATTTGTTGTATGCCAGCATTTATTTGTTTTCACGTGTGAATTTTCAAAAAAGAATCTGAATTTGACTTATGATAATTAGTTTAGTAAATTCACAAGACTCTTACACTTGAGCCAAGGAATTTCTTGGCTTTTTACTAACAAACTTCTTTTCATTTTCTTTGGTTTTATATTTAGTAAAGATGGAACAATGATCATATGATAATATTGTATGAATTCGTAATTGCCTTATTATGATTTTCTTTTATTATACCAACACATACAAGTCTAGGCTAAAGACCTCCCAATAAAAAAGAAAACAGTTAGCACATTCATTTCATAGGGTCTTTTATAATTTTGTTGACAAGGTTAGTTGTTTACCTTAAATAAATGTTCTGCTTTGATTAATATATTCATGAGTAAAGAGTATTTCTCACCTCTTGAATTTCACAGTGGGGGACCGGGCTCAGCAAACCACCTTTGACATGAGAAACCATAAATTGACCCCTGCTGCCAACATGGACAGATATTTGGTCTTTAGACATAATTTATATTTAACTACTCTGACTAATTCTAAAGCCACTTTTCAACACTGATCTGTGTCTGTTTTCGAGCTCAGCGTTACAAAATATTAGCCAAGTCTCATTCCCTGCTGTAAAATTCAAGATGTGGGAAATTTGAAATAGTTATGTTGATGAAAATACATTGCCATTTACACAGTAAATGGCGAAAAACAATTTATCCTTTAAGGCTGATTTCAAAAGACTGCCAAAAACAGCCTCGAAAGCCTTGAAAGAGTCAACCTAATGGTAACCGACAACCATGTGTGTTCACTTTGCTAATCTTTCATTTTCAACTCTAATGACTCCTTTCTGTTCAACTTAGCGATGTGACCTTTAGCATACCAGCAAGTCAGTTTTCAGTACTTTTGCTCAATTTGGGATGATTTTGCTTTTATTTTCAAGATGATTCCCTCTGAAAAATGAAAAGCTTCTGTAAAATGAAATTCATTTCAGAACATTTTTCCCTTTTCACAATGAGGTGCGCACAGATCCATGGCGTCCAGTATCTTCGCCGGAAAGGGCACGACCAGAGCAGGCTGCCCGGCATGGCGTGAGTGCCATCCTCGGCCACTCAGGGTCCCCAGTCTACTCCCGAACGTGTCTTTGTCTGCCATAACCAACTCCTGAGTCTTTGAAAATGGAACTTCAAGGCTCCAAATGTTAAAATAGTGATGAACCTGCAAACTTTGTAACGGTTCCTTTGATTTATTTTTTGAACAGAATTGGTCATCTTTGAATCCCGTCCTTGTTTTTATATTTAGCATGGAATGTCTCTACCAAGATTGCAATGCACTGTAGAATTATCTGCCCATTATACAAATATGAATGGCTTCTTTGCTCGCTTGTGGTTTCCCTGGGAACCTTCATCAATAGCATCTTTCTAAGCCAACTACCTCCACTCTCAAAGTAACCCAGATAAATCCTTTCATACGCTTAATGTAAATGGAAAATTTTACTCTTGTTAATCTTCTTCTTATCTAGTCTATTGCCATACTTCTTAGGAATCTGTTCCAGTAAGAAAACATAATCTTTGGGGAGATGTATACTATTATATTATATAATTGTGTGTGTGTGCGCGTGCGTGCAATTATCATTCTGCATTGTAGTTCTCTGGAAACAAAAGCAGATGTACTTTCTAATTTAAGACTCTTTGTTGTTACAGGTCTATAAAAAGAAAACCGAGGCTGCTAAGAAGGAGTACCTGAAGCAGCTAGCGGCATACAGAGCCAGCCTTGTATCCAAGGTAACATGCAATTGTGCGGTACTGTGATGGAGTGTGGCCATCTTACTGCAGCCGATGATGGTCATTTAAAAGCATAAAAGATCACTTTAGCTTTTCGGCGCTATCTCCTTTGTTGACGGAAGAAAAAGTAAATCCTCAACAAAGCGGTATGTGGTGGAAATATTTGTTCATACCTGAAGGAAGACAGAGTGGCATCCTCTGGGCCTTTCATGAAATATTGTCCACCTGTGAATCATCGGTTTGGTGGGTTAGTCACAGCACAGTGGTTGTTTTGTTTTGTTTTTAAGTTTATTTACTGTGAGAGAGAGCACGAGTGTGAGCTGGGGACGGGCAGAGAGAGAGGAAAAGAGAGAATCCCAAGGAGGCTCGGCGCCATCAGCACAGAGCCCGATGTGGGGCTGGAACCCATGAATCATGAGATCATGACCAGGGCAGAAATTGAGAGTCAGACGCTTAACCGACTGAACCACCTAGGCGCCCCACATCACATTCTTAATCCTGAGCCAACTTTCTAGTTCTCCATATCCCCCCCTGAAATTGCCCCCTCCCCCCCACCCCACCCCTTTGGCCTTAGCTGAGGAGATGCCAACTAACTTAAATTCTATCCTCATTACGGTATCATTAGGATTAGCTTGCCCCCCACCTCCAAGACTAAATAAATAAATAAATAAATAAATAAATAAATCGCAGCATTTCATATGAAAATGAAAACACCACTTCAAAGATGTATACTTCAGAATATCTTAAATACTAGTCTTTTCTGTTATAAATACTCAAGGGTTGACTCTCCTTGGTCTCAGATTACCAAAGATATATTTCCCCCCATAGATTTCTCAGGGAGGTAACCTCAGAAAGATGGGGCTGAATCTGTAAGTACTTACCACGATGTCCTTATCAGGTCCAAATTCGACTATGACTTGGCTCAGTGTGGCCTCGGGCTCCGGCCTTCCTTCCATTCACCTCCCAAAATGACTCTCTCTTTCATCCACAAGTATCCACCCCCTTCCCACAACTCTAAAGTAATCATATAAATTAGTTTTTCATCGGGGAAAATATCCCCTGAATATACTGATGCAGAAAACAAAAGAGAACGCAAAAAACAAATGCATAAGCAATCGTTCTGTGCTCGGTCTCATGCAACTTTGTTTTTCACTTCTAAGGCATGAATGACATTGTGGGAAAGCTTAACTCTTCATTCTTTAACCTTAAAATTCCCAGCTCTCCTGTAACCTCTCACCATGGACCTCACACTTCCTAGGTTATTTCACTCCTTTTGAAGACATTTATATTTTCCGCTGACTCCGTCTCCCATATTTATAGAATTCACAGAATGTGTGTGAAATTACAGCCAAAAAATGAAGTACAAAATATTAGGTCCAATAGCAAAAAAAAAAAAAAAAAAAAAGAGTTACAGATTACTGGATTCATCCAGGCATTGGGTGAAACAGTCATGTTGATATTATTTAGATTAATGTGCCCCAAATATAAGGGGGACTTTTAAAAAAATGAGTTCTCCTTATTTCATCAAGTTAAGTTTCTTTCTGAGGATTTTAAATAGAATTCTAGTCAGAGCATTTTACATAGGAGAAAATCAATACGTAGATTCTCAATGCCAATACAAAGCGCTCTGGTTAATGTTATGCAGATTGCCAGAATGCTATAATACTGACTAAGCCTTTACTTTCAAAACAAGTGTCCTCAGATTTGCTCTTGACTGCAACTTTTCCTACTGTTCATTCTCAGAGCTGCAACCCTCAGTATACGGCAATTTATATAAATGCTGCGAATTGCCATTTCTACATTTAAAAAACCAAGCACTTTTTTTACAGCTTACTCTGATGTTTTTATGTTGGCTTTTTTTTTCTCTTTGGCGGTAAGAATTTTGCTGGAACTGTTGAATGTCTATTTATGTACAATTATCTATCGTGTGTATACAAATTGAAGGAAAATTACAAATACCCTCTCCGGGTTAGAAAAATGGCCCTCTGATGGTGTACGTGAGTGGATATTTGCTGTGTAACCTTGCAGGCACGTACGGGAAATTTACCAACCTACCTTCCCCTTGTACACAGACGCTTACATAAAAAACCATTTCTTTTCCATTTTGAGTAGTGACAAGGGAAAATAATAGCCATTCATGTGCACACGTACACTTTTTCAGTGTTATAATTTTTAGGTATTATCAATTATTTCCCTATTCTGAAAGATCTAAAAGCACGATCGTAAAATGCTACATGATAATAATAGTTACAATTCCAAGTAACCACAGTGCACCAGCCGAGCTCTGTTTCTCCCCATTCACTCATTCGTGTCTTCAGCTGGCAAATTTCCCTGGCCATGTGGTCTGTGCCGAGCAGTGTACCAGGCTTGGAGGACACCGTGGAAAATAGGCAGATATATCCCCTGAACTTAAGCTTTCTTTTTTGTCCGGGAGACCAATAGTGATGATGTAGATTAATACATGACCAAGGTCTTCGGGAATCTAAGCATTTGAAGGAAATAAAGGAAGGGATTTGAGGGGGTGGGCTACAAAGTCCTCTTTGAAGACGCAACCTTGGAGCTGAGCACTAAGGAAGACAAGGGGCTTGCAAGACACAGAGGGAGCCTCGGGGAGAGCCCACCAGGCCTCAGGACGGCAAGGGGATAGCCTCCCGGGACAGAAATGTCTCTCTGAATCATTCAGAGGTCCGTGTGGCTGGAGCCGAATGAAGAGAGGAAGCACAGTTTGAGGGGAAGCCGGGAAGATGGGCAGGGGCCAAATCACCAAGACCTTGGAGGACACTGGAAGAGGCTAGATTTTATTCTCAGTACGGAAGGACGCCACTGAATGGGTTTCAGTAGAGGTTGGATAATCAGATTTATAGTTTTAACACATCACTTGATGTGAGTGAGTTCTATCAGCCCCCACACCTTATCCCTCAAAGGATACTCGACCATAAACAGTTCACCAAAGAGGAGAAGTATCACGTAGGTAACAAGTTGCCCAAGCCCAGGGTGGGCCTTTACCATCCTCAGTCCCTGAGCTGGGTCTTACTTCTCACGGGCCCTAAGAGCACGTTTGACCCGCTTCCTTAAAACACCTCCCGCCCCATTCTCACTTCTAACATGCTTCTTGTCAGTGACCTACTATATGAACCAAAGGACCATGTTTATTGTCCTGTACTCTTGCGGGACAATTTTAATTACCCGTCCATCGCTACGCATTGTGGTACGGATTCTCTTTGCAATGCGTTCACTTCACCCGCTTGGGCTTTGCTTCCCTCGACCAATAGCTCTTGCCCTTGCTCATTTGCAGCCACGTCAAGTCTGCAACTCGGTGCTGACTCCAGGCCCCGCTCTGCCCCCCCACCCAGGGCTGCACAGCACCTGCTCCATGTGGGGCACAAGCCCAGGCGCTGAGAGCACCAACATGAGTGCGGATCCAAGTGAAGTATGTCACGATACTTGAAAAGCTGGAAGACTGTATTCTAAAGTTAGCTGCTTCTTACAGAACAGAATCAAAAATAGAAACATCCCGTTAACATTGACTCCACCTATGAAACTGAGTCCTGGGATTAGCAATGTTCCTCTGAATGACTAGGATCCAGCTTGAATATACTATATACCTCGTAATCCGGCATTTGAATCATCATGACTCTGGGCCTGAATAAAATTGACATCTACCAAAGCTAAAAACACTCAGTCGTAGTAAATAAATATTCTAACCTCCAGAATGACAATGCTGATGCATTCTCACAAGACACAGAAGCTTAACACAATCATAACACAAATACAAATGGCATCTTGCTATTGAGAGGCTTCTGTGTGTCACACACGGCACCAGCATTTTCGATGTGTTCCTACCCATCATTGTCCTCACAACCTACAAAATAAGATTTAGTCCATTTCCTAGATGGCCTCTAGGCAGAGGGATTAAACGATCGTCCCACAGAAAGGAGAGCCCGGCGGGCCAGACAGTCCTCAATGGCTTCACTGTCTTGATCGAACACTTGTAGGCTTTTTCTGCCCTGAGTGATTGTCAAATATGTGTACCCCTAGAATGACAACCTCTTATCATACCCCAAAATTCTGTATGCCAGCTCTTCTGTATTAGACTGCTAAGGGGAAAGCTGCACTGACTTAACTGAGGGTGGGGTGGTAGGAGAAGGTATAGACGGCTGCCGACTCCCACCCCCGCCCCCTAACCCACATCCCAGGGGCTGGCCAGAGACCCTCAGGGGAATCCAGGGCCTACAGAGTTTGGGAAGCATCCCTCTGTCTCAGGCTTTTCCAGCTGTCCATGCACTGGCTTCACCTGGTCCCGTGGACCAGGGACGGACCCAGCCAGGGGTGACGCTGCCAGGCGAGCACCCTGGGACTGAAGGCATGGACGGGAGCACAGTGTTGCGAAAATGACACCGGTCAGACCCTGGAATAATTTATTCCGTTTTGGGCTCTATAATTTAAAGGGGGGAGGGAGGAACTGAAGACATTTCAGAAGAAAAGGTTACAAAGGTGACTGATAGGTAAAGGGGCAGAAGGCAGTAGCCGAGAAGAGAGAATCTGAGATCCCAAAGCCTGAAAAACAAAGACGCAGGCATGTCCAAGCCCATGACGGGCATTACACCCAGGACTGTGGTTACCCATGCCCCCATTTTCTGTCATTCTGGAACAGGAAAAAGATGTCATTTCAAACTGGAGGAATTTGATCTGTACAAGGCATCATTACACTCTTGAGCTGGCTGGGTACATAATTTCTTACCCTAGAGCAATTTACAAGCAGGAAGCTGAGGTTTATAAATAAGGATTGGGAAGATCTCTAAGGCATAGGGCATCAAGGAAAATCTATTCAGGGGTCTTTAAAGTGCCACCGACATCACACCTAGAGAGGGCGTGATCCTCAGAGCAGCAAAGTCCACAAGCCCTCGGGGCAAGGAGATCTGAGCTCACATTCCAGGCTTTCCACTTCCTACCTTCGTCCAAGTTACTCAGCTGCTTCTCAGTGTACTCATCTGTTAAAT